TTCGATCCTCTGCAAATGTATCCGAAAATGTGCCGGTATCTACTTCCGGGTTTTTCGGGATCGCCTTTTCTTGCATTACATCAGTGTTTTTGTCATGAAAACGTAAACGGAAAATTCTGAAAACTTCCGTGCACTTGTATTAAGACTGGATATGTATAATTCACTCTCCGATAAACATTTCATTGCGTTGATTGATTGGCATTTGCGTTTATTGAGCGGCCAGAACTACTTCCGGGTTTTTCACGATCGCTTTTTGACGCAGAGTAATAGTATTTTTGTCATGAAGACAAGACCAGAAAATTCAGAAAATTTCCGTGCACGTGCGTGAAGAATGTATATGTATAAGTATTCTCCGATTAACATTTAAGTGTGTTGGTTGAGCGTGGCTAGCTCCGGAGTGGCCGGAACTACTTGAGGAGTTATCCACGCATTTGAAAGACAAGCAGAGAGTGCGTTGCCAAAGGGCAGCGGTCATTATTGTTTTGAGAGGTCCGTTATAGAAAATAATGACCGGTAGAACGTTTTGAAATTACATTCAAATCAATGGAGCGTTCTACTGCTGCTCTGAGGAGCCGTATAATAAATATCGATAATCGAATCGCGGGAGAAAGTATCGCACCCTAATCTGCACCAGGAGCAGAGAGCCGCTCTAGCCCCACGGCAGACCTCAGCTCCCAGTGCAGAGGACTCCTCCAGAGTCTCGGGAAACTAAAACCAAACAATAGAAAGTTAAATACTGAAATGTTAAAGTAAAAGGATCATAGCACAGTAACTAACATCATGTGGCCTTTTGTTCTGATGAGGTTGGACTTGTGGCCTTTGGTTGTAGTTTTTATTAAAGAACCGGCAAACCAAGGTCTTTAAATACCATCACTGTTGGTCATGATAAAAATAAGAAGTTAAAACAATAGGAGTAAATAAAGAATGCACATAGAGAAAGCAGTAGGTCGAGGTCTTAGCCCTGTGATAAAATGTAATGAAGCATGTTGAGAATTTACTCTTTTTCGCCTTCACCACCAAAAGCCTGTGTAAAAGATAAACCATTGATTTGATATTTTTCTGCCCATTTGTGCAAAGAAGCAGCAGCAGCGTGTGTTTCCAGCAGGTCTCGGCCTGGTCACATCCCAGTACTTTCCCCCGCAGAGAAACCAAGTGGGCGTTCTCGCTCTGTCGGTAAATATGTAGAGGGATGTGACCAGACAAGTCCCTTCACAAGTAACATCGGACAGGGTGATGTATATGTTGGTGTTTATCTGTTTGATACGGACCTGTTCATGCACTCAGCGTGTGAAACATTACAGCATTTATAGCCAAGGCTAATTTGCAATATCTGTCCCCACAGGGTCTTTAGTGCAAATGAGTTTGAAAAGAGTATTTAGATGGAAGGGAAGGATGTTTGTGGAAGGAGCCATAAAACAACACCACACATGCCGCCTTTAAACCAGAAGTTTAGGCAGAAGAGAAGGTTGTGATTTGTCGCTTTTCTCAGACCGTGAATCTGCGACAAACACATCTGAGCTGAATCCCAGTCTTGATTGAGATCCTCTTTTGCAGAGAAATCCAAGGTCTTGTGTCGGCAAAGGAGCCGTGCGATGAGACTGTGTGGGAGCAGAGGCGTCGCCATGGAAACAAGGTAACACTGAGGCATTTAAGGACGTTGCGGAAATCTCGGACTAACAAAGGCTTCCCCGTCGGTACCAGAGAGAGCGCGTTCTGTCCCAGCGGAGGCCGACGAGGAGCTCAAACACAGGCTGTGACCAAAACCATTACAGGATGAACATGTTGAGAGTTTTTACCATACATTCTGAAAAACAGATACAAACTTCCCCCCACCCCTTCTGTTTAAATACTGTTTTTAAACATGTCTCACAATGAAAAATACTGAGTTGAATTGTGTTAAATATATCAATTGACAATGAACTAAATAGAAAAACAAGGCACTGGTTTTCGAACCGGGTCCAAGAGAGACAGAAGTACAGTCAAAAAAAAAAGTTTCGAAACTCAATTGAGAGACGCAAGGGAAGTCTGCAGCCGACAGAATATTCCTGCGGCCAAACAAGCCATATATTTGTGCGGCTCGTATCCGGTGGCAACACAGCGCCCGGGTGGTCTTTAATGGGGTCAGCCCGAGGCACACCTGCGCAGTGTTCATCTAATCAGTGTCTGACTCTGCTCCACTGTGGGGGGGGGGGTCTTCAGTGAAGACGTGCTCAACAAAACACATTTAAGTTTGTGTACAGCGTCCGTTACAGGTGGGTCTACTGTTCAGGTATTCAGAGCTTTCAAAGTAGGAAGAAAAACTAAAGCGCTGCGTTTATATTTATGCTGCGCTGCTCTGTGTCGCTCCTCCTCCTGTTCAAGTGTTTTTAATGTTTGTTTTTATCGAGTTGCATGAACGTGGCCATTCTTTGTTTTTCCTCCAGAGCCACGATGAGGGCTCGATGGGGGGCAGGCCGTGTGCAGGGATGTCACGTGTGGCTTTATCTCGATTACTTGTTATTGACCAAAACAACAACAAATGGCTCAAATTCAGCACGGGGAACCAGAGCAGGGAACCAGAGCCGGGAACCAGACCAGGGAACCAGAGCAGGGAACCAGACCAGGGAACCAGAGCAGGGAACCAGACCAGGGAACCAGACCAGGGAACTAGAGCAGGGAACCAGACCAGGGAACTAGAGCAGAGCATTAGCTACACACTTTGAATGTGCCGCATCAGCTGCATCTTTCCTCCTGTAACTATGTATGATGACATTATCCCTGTCAAATAAATAAAATAAAAAAAAATAAAAAAAATAAGAATAAAAAAATAAAAATAATAATAATAATAATAATAAAAAATAATAAAAAATAAAAATAAAAAATAAAAATAAAATAAATAAAATAAATAAAATACATAAAATACATAAAATACATAAAATAAATCAAATAAAAATAAACATGGGTGACAGTTTTTCGGATTCAATCAATTCTGTATTTCTTCAGGCTAATAACAAACTGGATGCTGACATTTTTTTCCCATTCCACTGCATTTCTAGAAAATAAAGCATATTGGCATTTCTGCTTCTTTCCTGATCAAACGTTAAAAAAAATATACATTAGATATGGAAAGATTAGTCATCTCTACAGTTTTGTGCAATTTCCAACAGAGGCACAGGGAGGAGAGGCCTTTCCCATGTTCCAGGACAATATGTGTATGTGCGTAAGTGTGTCCAGGGGCTCGTTATCCTGTGTGAGAGACAGCAGAGCGGGCAGTGGACAGGCCGAGAGCACTGGAGCTGCAGCCTTGACAACCACACACACACACACACACACATACAGAGACATAGACACACAAATGCTCACTCTCTCTCACACACACACACACACACACACACACACGCAGAGCTGTGATGGACACTTACATAAGCACACTGCGAAAGGTAAAACCACTTTAGGTCAAATATGATAATCTACCTTTGGTATTGAGCAGCACTTTGCTCTGAATGCACGGTGCAGAATGGCGTCCTCCGCAGAGACCGGAGGCGGTTGTGTGCACGTGTGGCGTCAGTGTTCAGCCGATTCTCACTGAATCACATTAAACGCAGGAGAATAAAGTAACACACACACACAGGCACACATTTACACACACACAGACACACACATACACACACACAGACACACACATACCCACACACAGACACACATATACACACACACAGGCACACATATACACACACACAGACACACACATACCCACACACACACACACACATATACACACACAGACACACACACATACCCACACACAGACACACATCCAGGTGCAGCTCTGTCTTGTGGAGGACTGCAACTTTCAAATCAATTGTGAAATCCAGAAGTAGCTACAGTGAAGAGAGCACAAAACTGGTGTGAACTAAACAAAAACTTCCACAAACAATAGAACGTTTTGACCTATGACAAGATGTTCTAGTATAGCGCTAAAATTATCAAGATTAAGAGATCCGTTATTTGTCCCATTGTTGGGAATTGTCAGTGTTGCATCACCAGTTACAGGACAGTAGGAATGGGGAGCACACGACACAAGATAAATGAACAACAGCTCTGTACTTAAAAAAAAAAAGCTAATTATCTCCTTGTAATAAACCTGATCTCCCTGAATCCTGTGTCATTGCCGGGGTCTACCTGCCAAAAAACCAAATTCATTCAATGCATCTCTCTGTAAGGGTTTCACACTGGACAGTGGTCATTCCACTCAATGGTTACTCCTTTGTGACCTTGGCTTTCAACAGCGCTTTGGTCAAAGTTAGAACACTTACGGACCAGCTCGGCCTGGATATAACCTGCATTTGACCCATTCTTTATTACCGCTATGTCCTCATTCAGGAGCAGTAGTTGCCGCAGACAGAGGGGCCCATCTCCACATGTCTGAACAGGACCAGAGTTGGAGGATCGGGGCCAAGAATGACACAAAAAAAGTACCTGGAACCGGTCAAAAAGGACTGGTGGAAACTTCCCCAATTGGGCTAGTGTGGAGCCTACAAGAGTAGAGTAGGGCCACGTAGAGTAGAGTAAAGCCAAGAAGAGCCAATTAGAGTGGAGCAGAGTCTGGTAGAGTAGAGTAAAGCCGAGTAGAGTGGAGTAGAGTCAAGTAGAGTAGAGTAGAGTAAAGCCGAGTAGAGTGGAGTAGAGTAAAGCCAAGTAGAGTAGAGTAAAGCCAAGTAGAGTAGAGTAGAGTAGAGTAAAGCCAAGTAGAGTAGAGTAGAGTAAAGTAAAGCCAAGTAGAGTAGAGTAGAGTAGAGTAGAGTAGAGCCAAGTAGAGCCAAGTAAAGCCAAGTAGAGTAGAGTAGAGTAGAGTAGAGTCAAGCTGAGTAGAGTAGAGTAGAGTAGAGTAGAGGTGGTGGAAACAGGGCTTTAGTTCACCACATTTGGTTATGAAGAACGAACGATGGAGTCATGCGTGACATAAATGATTTCATTTAAAATTGTTAAACTATTTTGGGCATCATTCGAAGCTGAAATTCTCACTGAAACGAAATGAAAACATCATTGTCAAAGTGAACTGTGAGCAGAGCCCTCCCCCAGACCGAGGGGAGGCATGAGCAGGGGCCCGGACCAATCTCACACATGGCTGAGCGGGCACCAGAGGAGACCACAGAGGAGACCCCCACCTCACCGAAGGGATGTCGCTGCTGAAGAGCGTCTGCAGAGGCCCCGGGACAGGAACGTGAATGTGGTGAAGGCAGGGGGGACGATGGCTGCAGACAGGGGCCGATACAGGGAGCCGTTCTGCTGCGTGTGAAAACCTGCGGCATGCGACTCATTATTTTATAATCACGTGCACATGGAATACAGCGTCATGATGAGTCGTAACATTGAAAGATGTACCAACATATTCATAATATTTGGCAAACATCACATTCAGAGAAGCAACAAAACCAAACTATCCTTCAAAGCAGTCAACTCCGAAATCAACAAACAAACACAAATATATATAATGGTATGAGGAGGATTTACCTCTTCTCCTTGCTCTGCCAACCCCAAAGGGGGAGGGCTCTACTTTTATCAGAACCTGTGAATGTAGAACACATTTCATTTAGTCAGAGCTATTGGCAACAAGATGTACAAGTAAAACATAACGAAACAAATAAATATATAATAAATACTACAATGATAAAAAAAATATAAGTGGCATGTACTAAAGAAGCAGTAGGGATACGAGCGATGTGTTACTTTGAAGATCAAAGCAAGTTTCCGCGCCTTTCCCTCTTTTCAAGTCAGCACACTCTAGGTAACATAGCAAGTTCTTACCTTCAGCTCTTTCTGGAGCTTCTGGGGATGACGCTCTGCTGGTTTCAGACGGTAACCACTCATCTGACGAATCGGGATCAGGTTCGCTGAAGTCATCAGAGTCATCAGTTACAGCAGGTGAAACACTGCGAGAGGCAGCAGGCATCTCCGCGCTCTTCCTCTGCGCGAAGTTGGCCGCAATGATGGACCCTCGCCGGGGTCTACACTCGCTTCCCTCTCTCCCTGACTCACTGATCGACGAGCCAAACTCTCAAGCAGTGTCAACTGCTTATAACTCGCCATCACTCTCACCTATATAATCTCAACTATCGCTAAATTCGCTACTCGCTATGCTACTCTCTCGCTATACTACCGCCACTCACCACGCTCTCCAAACACTCCCACACTCCTTCTCCTCTCCACTGGCTTTTAAGCTCTCCTGTGGCGCGACACTGCATCCTACTGGTGTTGATTTATCATTACAGGTACATTTGTACAATGTATCAGTATTGTGGGTCATGCATAAGGTGCGCCAGACATTACTGTAGCCTCCCGTGTAATAACATGAAAAACTCGTCAAACTCGTCATGGGCAGTGAGCGTTACTATTCAACATGACGAGTTTTGTCGTCATGGGCAGTGAGCGTTACTATTCAACATGACGAGTTTTGTCGTCATGGGCAGTGAGCGTTACTATTCAACATGACGAGTTTTGTCGTCATGGGCAGTGAATGAGTTAACAAACCCACCCGACCTATTCTTCAACAAAACGCTCTTGGTCAATGTCTTAAGTGCTCTTGATATCACTCGTCCCTCACCATGCCACCCAAGTCGAATGAGAAAACAACGGACATTGAAGTCTCTAGCTCGCATGCTGCCGTTAGCAAAGCTGACATAATAGCATTGCTAGCCGAACACAGACGGGTTTGTTGGCCGAGCTAAAAAATAGCTTCTTTGACGACGTGAATAACAAACTGGATGGACTTCAGAAAGCGTCAGATAGCCACGGTGAGCGCCTAGAATCATTGGAGGAGAACGCTTACACAATCTCCGAGCGCCTTGCTAAAGTGGAGACAGTTTGTGAATCGCTGCATGCTGCTAATGAGAAGCTAAGGACTAAGCTATCTGATATCGAGTCAAGAAACAGACGTTGTAATGCCCGTTTTGTCGGTCTACCGGAGGGAATTGAGGGCCCACAGCCTTCAAAATTTTTCTCGGAGCTGCTGCAAAATGTTTTTGGCATGGACATTTTCCCTCCCCCCCAGAGCTGGATCGTGCACACCGTACTTTGGCCCCTAAACCGTCCCCGGGAGGCAGGCCTCGGCCTGTCATAGTCTGCTTTCACCGCTACCAGAACAAGGAGCTACTGATACGAGAAGCTAGCAGGAGGAATGACCTCAAATACATGGACAAGCCTTTCGAATCTACGAAGACTACAGCCCTGAAGTGGTCAGCCAACGTAGAGAGTACAGGTCTGTTATGGCGGACCTGTACAGGCTGGGTCTGCGGCCTTCATTACAGTACCCGGCACGACTACGCATCACTGAGGCCGATGGCGTGCGTCGCACGTTCGGCTCCGTGGTTGATGCGGAAAGGTTTGTGGAACATCTAAGAAGGACTGAACTGTTTATACAGGCGTGAATCGTGGGACTATGTTCTATGAAAGTTGAGACTGAGTTTACTTTTACGTTAATTACCCGATTTATATAGACCTATGATGCTGGCATCATGATTGAAATCTGTATGACGGGTTGAAATGTTTGAAAACACTACTCAAGCTGGTGACAGTTAGATAGGGTAGGTGTGCTGTTCGTTTTAACAGCTATTTTCATTGAATGGAACTCTGACTAATAGCCAAAGAAAGAGAGTACACTCTAAAACTAAATTAAATACTAAAATAAATGTTTGGGAACTTAGTTATTGCTTTAATTCAATCTTGGAGATGCTGGGGATTGAACCCAGGAGCGCATGTAAAGCATGCAAAGCATGCGCTCTACCACCAAGCTACATCCCCTTTTAATGTTTTATTTTTTTAAAGTTTGGTTTTACAACAATTTGTTTTCAAGGTGTGCAATTATAAGACCGAGTATTTACTTTGATTTAAAAAAAAAACACCTCGGAGACAATGGGGATTGAACCCAGGAGCCTAAATCCTCCATTTCCATTGTTAATGAAATCAATTTGGAACGTATTGTGCAAATCATAAACAAGAGCAGGCATACAAAGATGGACAGGAAATGTATTGCTAGATAGTGGCAAAGTTCTGCAAGTTCAAAATGGATATAGTGTGGAGGAATAAACTATTTATTTTTCATTGATCATTGTACATTGTTTGTTTGCTGAGTATCTGGAGAGACAACATTGTTGAAAAACAAGCCTGACTGGCCTCCTTCACGTCCGCTGCTACTACCTGAAAAGAGGGCGTGGCTACTGTGACTTTCTCTTTAATAAAGAACCACTCACTTGAGTTAGAAATACTCACTACATGCAGCCATGAGTACAGATGAAGAGGGACCAGAAAGACAAGCAACTTTGGCCACAGCTGAATCCATTCAAAGACTCAGGCTTTCTAATGCAGCACATTAAGACAACCTCAAATAGGATCACTCGCGGCTTCTGCTTTCACAAGTGCTTCTTTTTGGGGTTGTCTTGGTTGTGAATTTACCATCCATAAATGTCTGCCTTGTTTCGTTTTTAAGGCTATTTTTGCGTTTTACATTTCCCTGTCATTCACATTGCCCTGGCAGTTGCACTGACTTACTATCTGAATGCAGTAAGTGCTATTTGTTGGGGTAATGTTGGTGATTTAAGCCACAGACATTTCCATTGTTAATGGAATCAATGTGATCCCCTTTTGTTATGGCTTTTTATTACAGTTTATAATGCAGCAATGGTCTCTAGTTAACCCTATATGCCCACATGTTTTACAAATGATCAATTTACTCGCGAACGGTAAAACGTAGCAACTTACTTTTTTCCCTCTGTGAAGTACGTATTCAGGGCTTTCCGAAACTAGTTTTGATTTGTCTGTGCAATGCACAAAGGATAAACTACGTTTGTCTGAATGTCCGTGTCCAAAGCGTGACCCGTGAGGTACAAACAGCTGTGAGATACAAACACACGAGGACTGCCAAAGATCGTCAGAGAGTGAGATGTCTCACTCCTCTGCGTTTACTTGTTCTCCCACAGTTGAAACTACAGCTGAGATTGCAATAACCGGCTGAAGAGTGCGCATTATTGATAAAGACAATAATAAATACAGTAAAATGACCTTATGTGTATATGATGTATATAAATATATGTATTATATAAATAATTTATGTTTTTTTTTTTTTTGGCTTAGTTTCTTATGTTTTACGTTTTTTACAGCTGTACTACAGAAGCAACCCCAGCATTATAGACAAACTGCTTCAGGAAGGGCATCAGGAGTACAGAGTTTTTTGCCTTTATAGTGGAATTTTGTAAAAAGTATAATAGTTAGAGATTCAATTTTTTTTCCCCATTATCCCCAAGACCATAAATAACATTTCTATGCAGTGTAAAAAGTTGTTTATAGCATTTCATTGTGTTTTTTCAATACATTTTTGTTAAATTGATTTTCCGTTTGATTTTTTTCTTTGTCTTCATGATTCCATAATTTTTATATAATTCATATGACAGCTTTACAATATGAATATTCTAAAACCCCAGGTTGTACTGAAAAAAACAAAGTATACTGCTTGACTCTGCATCAAAAGATGACTGTTTTATGAACAATTATACACAAAGAAAACCAGGCGAGGAAAGTTCCCCAAAATGAACCATGTGCATAGAGGGTTAATCAAGGTGAACTAACCCAAGATTTACCAACAACATTGAAAATACATCAGATCCATGACAAATGTTGGAGGACTTTGGGGATTTAACCCAGTACCTCATGCATGCTATGAATGTAGTTTGTCATTGAGTTCCATCGCTTCTCCAAGTTACCAGAGCTAAGGAAGCAAGCAAATAAGTACTTGTCAAAAACACGCTGAGACACGTTAATTCTCGTTGCTGACAGGATTCGAACCTGTGAGGGGAATCCCCAATGGATTTCAAGTCCATCGCCTTAACCTCTCGGCCACAGCAACAGACTGATTTTCCTCCGAAGGGAAATGGTCGGGTTCCAGTCTTAATGGAGGCTTGGGTTCAAACCCCACCACTGCCAAAATCTTTGCATCAAAGATAAATAAATACCCAAGCTGGTGACAATAAAGGAACATCTGTAGAGTAGCCAAAGAAACAGAGTGCCCTCTACCACTAAGCTACATCCCCTTTAGGTATGATAATTTCACATTTGGTTAACCAACAACTTGTTTTCAAGATGTGCAATCATAAGATGGAATATTTATTTGGATTAAAAACACCTTGGAGACGATGGGGATTGAACCCAGGAGCTACTCCCCCCATTTAGCAGGCTTCTCTAGTTAATCAAGGTTTGTGAACCAACCGCAGATTAACCAACAACATTGAAAAAACATCAGATCCATGTCAAATGTTGGGTGATTTTGGGGATTTCATCCAGTATCTCCTGCATGCTAAAAATGTTTGTGTGTTATTGAGTTCCATCCCTCCTCCAAGTTACCAGAGCTCAGTAAGGAAGCCAACAAGTACAACACATAACAACAACTTCACTCACGTTGCTGACAGGATGCGAACCTGTGCGGGGAACCCCCAATGGATTTCGAGTCCATTAGTTTAGTTTAGTTTATTTGTTTATTTGAGCAATACACATTGTGCTCAAAAGGAGTGGGCTGAAGCAAAAAGCTCATGAGCCCCCACCCCCAAGTACAATACATAAAAAAAGAACATTTCAAAACATTTCAAGCAGCTACATTCGTACAGACCAAATTACAACAAACAACAAAAATATATTGACTCTTTTTATAATTAATTGGAACAACGCACAGCTACAACAACAATCTAGTTTCATATACGATGTCTAGAACAAAGCAAGTCAAAAAATGTGTTACTTAATATATTGCTTGCAGATTTTTACCCGTGATTACAGAGTTACTTTTATGGTATAAAAGTACATTAATAGATATTATAATCTGAGATTTTGATACTTTCCAATTGTCATTACCATTCTCAGTATAATTTTAATTTGGGTTTAATTATCATCATCATTATTATATATTTATTTAATTGAGTTATGTGAAGTATGATGAAAGCCCTGCACAGTGTGGTGCATTAAAAAGCCAGAGAGTGAGCCAGTTGAAGAGGGCAGTAACTCCCCTTCAACAAACCCCCACACAGCTGCCCTAACAGCTGATTTTGTAGAATATGTTCCTATGCTGAGTGGTGCATTAAAAGACAAGGTTTAGAGCCCGTTGGGAGGATTCCTCTCAACAGATCCATAACCTGGCAACCCTAATTCTCCATTTGTGAATTTTAGCAATAGAATGACAACTGTTCCAAGCAGCAACACTCTTCCTTGAATATAGAGGAAAAATACACATAATTGATCCTACTGCTCCCCCTAGTGGCAACACATTTCCTCTTGTCTGTATATTTCAAAAGTCTTTTGTTTGTATTTATATTTGAACAGGTTGATGTTTGGACATCGTTTCAATTCCATCTCCAGTTTATTCCACAATTGTACACCATTAACTGTTGGACTAAAACTTTTCAAAGTTGTGCTATGTTTCTGAATCCTAAAGTTTAATTCATCACGTAATTCATAACGACCGGGACGTTCTTGGAACCTTCTTTGTAATTGGTTTGGTAACAGTTTATACCTTGCTTTGAATAACATCTGTACAGTTTGGAACTCAACAATGTCACAAAACTTCATGATCTTTGATTTTAAAAATAATGAGTTTGTGTGATCCAAAAACCCAACTTTATGAATTACTCGGATAGCTCTTTTTTGCAACAATATTATTGGTTTAACTGTGTTTTTATAAGTACTACCCCAAACCACAGTACAATAATATAAGTAGGGCAAAATCAGAGAACAGTATAAGGTATGTAGAGCTTTGATGTTTAAAATGTGCTTTGCTTTTGCTATTACTGAAATGCTTCTAGAAATGTTCGTAGATATATATTTAATGTGGGATTTCCAAGTAATTCTGTCATCAATGATCACACCAAGGAATTTGATATCATGCACTTGCTCGATAACAACACCCTCTATCTGAATTGCTTCCTGAGCATTGCAATCACAGTTGCCAAATATCATCATTTTGCTTTTACTCAGGTTTAGAGATAATTTGTTTTGTTTGAACCACTTATTGACACTCTTGAGTTCCAAGTTAACAATCTGACACAGCTGTTGCAAGTCGTCTCCTGATGCAAAAATATTTGTATCGTCAGTAAACAAGATAAATTTAAGTACTTCAGATGTTTTACAAATATCATTAATATACATATTAAACAATTTTGGGCCCAGAATAGAACCTTGAGGTAAACCACAGACAATTTGTCGACAACTCGACTGATAATCACCGATTTTCACACATTGTTTTCTATTTTTTAAGTAACTGGTAACCCACTGTAGAGCTACCCCCCTAATCCCATAATGTTCTAGTTTATTAATTAATATATCAGAGTTTATTGTATCAAACGCTTTACTCAGGTCAATAAATAACCCTATTGCATATTTCTTGTTATCTACAGCGTTAGTTATTTCTTCAGTTATATCAAAGAGCGCGTGTGAGGTTGAGTGATTGTTCCTAAAACCAAACTGATTGTCCGAGAGTAAATTACACTTTTCAATAAAGCTGTCAAGTCTAGAGTTAAAAACCTTTTCTAAGATTTTAGAAAATTGCGGTAAAAGGGAAACAGGCCTATAGTTTGTAAAGAGATGTTTATCTCCTGCCTTGAACAGAGGAATCACTTTTGCTACTTACATACTATCCGGAAATTGTCCAGTTTGCAACGATAAGTTACAGATGTATGTTAACGGCTTAGAGATACTTTCAATAACAGTTTTAAAGTTTTTATATCCATGTCATGGTAATCAGTCGAAGTTTTATTTTTACACCCTTTAACAATGTCCAGTATCTCCTTTTCCTCCACAGGTTTGAGGAACAGGGACATAGGATTTGCTTCTATCAGATCACAATTATAATTCTCAACGTTTGCAATTTTTGCAGCAAGGTTTGGTCCAAAATCTACAAAGAATTTATTAAATGTTTCGACGACTTCATTCATATTATTTAACGTGTTATCCTCATCTTTGAAATATTTTGGATAATTAATCGTTCTTGGTTTATTTCTAATTATACTATTTAAGATATTCCATAAACCTTTAATATTATTCTTATTGCTATCTAACAATGTATTATAATAATCCTGTTTACATTTTCTAATGATACCTCTCAGTTTATTTTTATATTTCTTATATTTATCCTCAGCTTCTTTTGTTCGGTTATTTATAAAGTTTTTGTAAAGATTATTTTTTTTCTTGCAAGCATTTAGTAAACCTTTAGACATCCATGGTGTTTCTTTACACTTTCTGTTTTTACAGTATTTCTTCATTGGGCAGTTTTTGTTGTATACTTTTTGAAATACTTGCGTAAACTCATCATAAGCCATATTCGTGTCATTCCCTCTGTACACAATACTCCAGTCTTGAGCTAAAAGCTCCTTTTTAAATGCATCTATAGTTTTCTCTGTTTTTACCCTTCTATACCAATACTTGTTTTCCTCTTCATCTTTTGAATATCCATTTTTATACATAACGAAAACTGGAAGGTGATCACTAATGTCATTTATAATTAACCCGCTGACTGTATCACTTTCTATTTCATTTGAGAACATGTTATCAATCAAGGTGGCACTATGGGTTGTAATTCTACTAGGTTTGGTTATTAGAGGAAACAGACCTATACTAAATAAAGTATTTATAAATTCGTCCGTCTTTTTATGTTTATATGGGTTTAACAAATCGATGTTGAGGTCTCCCCCCACAAACATGACTTTATGATTTAATCCTGAAAAGTGCTCCTCCATCCAATTAGAAAAAACATTTATATCAGAGCCAGGTGTTCTGTAAATAGAACTCACAATAATATTGTTCTTTTTTTGCCTTGTAATTTCAACAGTAAGGCATTCAAGTGTATCATCCACCACCATTGTCTTATTTCCCATTACTTTATAACTATATTTGGAGTCTATAAACATAGCTACGCCCCACCATGCTTGTTCCTTCTGTTCATACTTATAAATTCATAACCATCAATAGAAAACTCAAATTATCTGTCATTATTAATCCATGTTTCTGTGATTAGAATGACACTGAATGGTGTGGAAAACTGTTTTAAGAAGCTTTTGATGTGGTCAAAGTTTGCATAGAGGCTCCGACTATTGAAGTGGATTACAGTGAATGCCTTAATGTTCTTAAGTTTACTATTGTACAGATCCTCTGTGTAGTATTGACAGTCGTTGGTAGCTCTAGAAAAGAAGTTATTTTCAGGGTCAATGTCGAGCTCAGGGTTCTGTAGGTCGTATTGTGAGAATGTAAAATCCTGGGAGTTTGCTTCAGAAATTCTCCTTATTGAAAAGTCCAAGTCGGTACTTCCTATAGAACTATATGTATTTGTGGACATGTGAAATTATGTGTTTTTACGTACCAAAATCCATACGTTTTTTCCCGGTGTTTATACTGGATGTGGTGTACTGCTGCGTGGACGTATAATAAGTTTATCATATCTCAAGAAGGCGATCTCCCCCCTTTCTCGTGCAGCTCTCAGCTCCGGTATCAGTTCTTTACGTTTTCTTTTTATTGATTCGGTGTAGTCCTCGTTAATGAAGATTTTTGTTCCTTTGAGTCGTTTAGCGCGCTGCAAGATTTCCTCGCGATCCTTCCACCGCAGTAGTCTGGCGATGATGGCCAGTCGCTCCCGCCGCCGGGTTTCCCTACGCGGTGAGCCCTCTCCACCTCGACCACGTGATTTAGCTGTAACTTCTCCTTCAGTATTTCTTTTACTTTTTCCTCGGCGTCTGCCCAGGTCTCCCCAGGCGACTCCAACACTCCCTCAAATACCAGGTTGTTTCTGCGGCTCTGTCCCTCCAGATACTCCAGTTTGTCCGTGATGATGTGTAAATTGTCACATACTTTGTAAAAATCTGTTTGTAAAGTGTTTGTGCGCTCCGTGAGTTTCAGATTATGTTCTTTTAAAGTGTCCACCTCACCTTGCGTGAACTGCAGGCTTGTTTTTAGTTCTTGAATGTCCTTAGTCTGTAAATCCATGCGGGTGTTTGTTGATTCCATGATGAGTTTTATAAATCCTTTGAAGTCGTACGCCCATTTTGTTATTGTAACGTTAGATTGTAGTTTGTTTTCACATGACAATGATTGTTTAAAATGTTTAACTTATGCCAATAAGTTCAAAGGTGAATAACTCTTTGAGGTGTGTTGGGGTAACATTTAAATACATGAACTTGACTTAGTTTGGTAAGTTTTCTAAAGAGACCGGATCTTTTAATCGCACACCCATATTATTGCGCCGCACATATAGTGCTGGAAATGCAGACTAAATATTATACAGACTTTAGAGGGCTGAAAACGTACTTTTAATAATAAATCTAACGTAACATCCTAAAAAAAAGCTGTTGAGATTAATTAATTTTGATAAAACTGACGTAGGCCTATTAGCGGAAGGACACTATTCACATCAGTCCGCCCTACGGTCCACTTCGCGGCAACAACTCAACTTTTCCTACAGTTTGAGGTTCTTCTTCGAGGAGCGTGTTGAAAGTAAGTACATTATATTTTGCTTGGGTTTTAGAAAAATGAAAGATGGGCACATACTAATTAAAGCCGTGGCTGTAATCACATATAAATATTGTTATGCTTTGGTTGTTGAGCAAGCCATGTGGTGCTCTAGCTAGCTTGGGGGAGGGGGGGCGTTGGCGAGCGTTTTTTTTTATTTTATTTTTTTTTATTAAGGGACGGCATTTGTCATATTAATGGGTGCACTTGTTCATTTGCCCAAATGCTTCGTTTTCCACGATTATGTTTTCTCTGACAGACGAGGTGGAGTTCAGTTTCCGGGTCGCAGAGACACAAGTCGAGGTCGCGAAAAGAGTCAGCAGCTACACAGCCCTGTCCTTGCAGAGGTAACGTTCTAATGTTGGCTTTAACTGTCGAGCATGTATTTTGGTACCTACACAATTTCCGCGCAGCATTGCCTAAATGCTGTTCCACGCAACATGCGGACTCTGTTCGGGTGCGGGCATAAGACCGGGTCTGCAGTGACGGGGCAGTCGAGACTTCGGTAAAGTTAGCTTGATATTCACAGATTCGGACTTCCGCGGTCAATATCTCACGAAAGCTACGTTGTTAAACGAAAGTAATTGTGCCAAAATGATCACCTCTACATAGGCTAACTACTACAACATCGATTTTTAAAATCCAATGCGCTGTTTTAATGCAGAGAAATCCATTGAACCCAATGCGCCGCAAGTGCCGAGAAAAGGACTTAGGGAGCGTCAACGAATGCCAATAGCAGCTGTGTAAACGAACAAAAGTTTTTATTTTAAGCCAAGTACACGCACTAAACTCTCAAATACTATAAATAATGGCCATATCTAACTACTACAACCTTTGTTTTCAGCATTTGTCTCTTTTTTATATTTTTCATGAATAAATATGATTAAATATGAATATGAATTTTCAATAACTTTTTTCAAAAAGGGGCGTGGTCACCAAATTCTCAGGTATGATCAATAACTACCATGTCTAACTACTACAACCTTTGTTTTCAGCAGAAATATCTTTTTTATATTTTTTATGATTAAATATGAATATGAATTTTCAATAACTTTTTTTCAAAAAGGGGCATGGTCACCAAATTCTCAGGTATGATCAATAACTAACATGTCTAACTACTACAACCTTTGTTTTCAGCAGAAATATCTTTTTTATATTTTTTATGATTAAATATGAATATGAATTTTCAATATCTTTTTTTCAAAAAGGGGCATGGTCATCAAATTCTCAAGTATGATCAATAACTACCATGTCTAACTACTACAACCTTTGTTTTCAGCAGAAATATCTTTTTTATATTTTTTATGATTAAATATGAATATGAATTTTCAATAACTTTTTTTCAAAAAGGGGCGTGGTCACCAAATTCTCAGGTATGATCAATAACTAACATGTCTAACTACTACAACCTTTGTTTTCAGCAGAAATATCTTTTTTATATTTTTTATGATTAAATATGAATATGAATTTTCAATAACTTTTTTTCAAAAAGGGGCATGGTCACCAAATTCTCAGGTATGATCAATAACTACCATGTCTAACTACTACAACCTTTGTTTTCAGCAGATTTTTTTTTAAATATTGTTTATGATAAAATATGAATATGAATTTTCAATAACTTTTTTTCAAAAAGGGGCGTGGTCACCAAATTCTCAGGTATGATCAATAACTACCATGTCTAACTACTACAACCTTTGTTTTCAGCAGAAATATCTTTTTTATATTTTTCATGATTAAATATGAATATGAATTTTCAATAACTTTTTTTCTAAAAGGGGCATGGTCACCAAATTCTCAGGTATGATCAATAACTACCATGTCTAACTACTACAACCTTTGTTTTCAGCAGAAATATATTTTTTATATTTTTTATGATTAAATATGAATATGAATTTTCAATAACTTTTTTTCAAAAAGGGGCATGGTCACCAAATTCTCAGGTATGATCAATAACTAACATGTCTAACTACTACAACCTTTGTTTTCAGCAGAAATATCTTTTTTATATTTTTTATGATTAAATATGAATATGAATTTTCAATAACTTTTTTTTCAAAAAGGGGCGTGGTTTTATCATAAACAATATTTTAAAAAAAATCTGCTGAAAACAAAGGTTGTAGTAGTTAGACATGGTAGTTATTGATCATACCTGAGAATTTGGTGACCATGCCCCTTTTTGAAAAAAAGTTATTGAAAATTCATATTCATATTTAATCATATTTATTCATGAAAAATATAAAAAAGAGACAAATGCTGAAAACAAAGGTTGTAGTAGTTAGATATGGCCATTATTTATAGTATTTGAGAGTTTAGTGCGTGTACTTGGCTTAAAATAAAAACTTTTGTTCGTTTACACAGCTGCTATTGGCATTTGTTGACGCTCCCTAAGTGATTTTCTCGGCACTTGCGGCGCATTGGGTTCAATGGATTTCTCTGCATTAAAACAGCGCATTGGATTTTAAAAATCGATGTTGTAGTAGTTAGCCTATGTAGAGGTGATCATTTTGGCACAATTACTTTCGTTTAACGACGTAGCTTTCGTGAGATATTGACCGCGGAAGTCCGAATCTGTGAATATCAAGCTAACTTTACCGAAGTGCAGTCGAGCCCCCGCAGCACCACACGAAGGTTTGAACGTAACCATGTGAACCTTTTCACCTCTTATCTCCCACCTGAACAGAGCACATTCTCTCCAATTTGGCGTTACGCAAATCTAACAAAAATGCAACACAACAGCGACAAAAAAACAAAAAACGATGTAGAAATAACAATTTACGCGAACGCTTTTTTTTGTCGCGTTATTGTTTATTTTGTGTCACTTTCCTATTCTAATTGTTGCTTTTCCGTTGCTGCTGTGTTTGGGGTCTCTTTTTCGCCCTTCTGTCACTTTTTTGTGTGGTTTTCATCCTCGTTTTTGTCGCTATTTTGACGCTTTTTTTCCAGAAACTTTTCTTATTTTTGCGTAAAGCTAAACTGAAGAAAGTGTGCTCGGTTCAGATGGGGGTTTAGAGGTTAAAGTCTATTTCGTCTGTGTTTTGTCCAAGTTTCACATTCAATGTGTGCCAATCGTTTGTGCTTGTAACACATTTAGATTGAATTGATGATTCTGTTTTCAATCTGAGGGCACGCTTTGTGTGTTTTATGATGCGCGTTGATGCGTATTTTGTCTTGAAGGACATTGCGCGTGCACGCCTCAATTTACAACGCGCATTCACGGAGGTCTGGAAGTGTATGGAAATCCACCTGCACTGTACCATCTTGAATCTGCCCCTCAAACTAAAATTATATGTCAGTTGTGTGCGGTAAACTATTTGGTTTGGGCTGTTCTAGCATTTTAGATATTAATGATTCTTTTATTTGATCGGAGGTCACCCTGTCCATTATAAAGCTGCAAAACATCTGATGTTTTGTGCTGTTCAGTTTTTAAATTATTACAAGGTTTAAAGTCTTGAGACATCTCTGATGCTTGATTGTGTGTGACTCAGTGCCAATACTCACTGCTTTTTTTTAATATATATATAATGTGTATGAGAAATATATAATGAAACGTCACACATTTTTTTTTTAATCTAAATGTCTGTTAAAATGGAAGTTGGCTCTGCAGAAGTAATGAGGAGAGTAGGGAGCTAGGTTTTTATTGCACTAAGAATTAAGAAATTGCATACAAAATTGCTATTTTATACAGTCTTAACCTCTCAACCCCCACCTGAACAGAGTGCATTTTCATAGATGTAGGTAAAGCCGAACTGGGAAAAATGTGCTTGGTTAAAGCAGTACTAAGTAACTGGTTTACCTTTTAATAAGTGTTAATGGGATGATTGGGGGGCCTTTCATCTCACCCTGGTGTCTCTAGCCAGAAAACCAGAATTGCAACTTCCCTGCCTCTAGGTCAGAGTCACCAATACACACTAATGGAATCACGAAGAAGCTAACAGGCTAACGTGCAAAGCTAACTGCGAGCAAGCACCACTTAAACAGTATTTACAGCCAAGTTTGAGTGAAAAACAATGATCTCCATTGTGTAATTGGATGTACAATATCCCTCTCCCTTTTGTCTTTTCTGTCAGCGTAATATTTACTCTCACAGACAATGAGTAAAAAACACAACATGTTTGACCCGGACTGTCTTCAAATTGGAGTCATTAAGAATGTTTTATTGCATTTTAATTTCATTTTTGTGTTTCAGGTGGAAGAACGAGCCTTACCCTTTACCTAAGTACGTGGATGAAGTGGAGCTGTAAATTTTGCAGTTTCTCAACTTACATTGAACAGAGAATACTAAATCATTACAAAGGTAAACATGGACACGGAAGAAGAGGGTTGGTCTGCATTTATCCAAACTGCACGACAATTGTAAAATCATATGTGGCTCTAACGGTGCATTTAAAAACGCACAAAGTACCCTGTCCAGTCCAAAAACTACGGTGTGAACTATGTCTTTATTTGGAACCCACCAACATCAAACGCTATTTCATTCATTTAAGTAAACATTTCAAAACTTCAGAAACAGTTGCATGTCCATTTTCAGGCTGTCCTTTTAAATAAAGGCTTTGAGCGTCTGGAAAAGCACTATATAAGACAAATTTATATTGATTTTCATGTTTTGATTATTTTTTTTATTTTTTTCTACCCACTCTATTGGTACCGTGGATTTGGCTGAGTGGCCTGACCCTTACCCAATACCTCAGTTCTCCTACGACACTGAACTCAAGTTAATGAAAGCCAATGCACAATATGCAAAGGATGGATACCTTCTAGAGGTAAACAAAGGAATGAAGTCAGACATTCTAGATTGTCTTGCAGATGGTATTGATGTCAAAAAATGATTTGACTGACGTGTTCAGAATTTGATACAGAAATAAGGCCAAGAATGCAGGAGTTAAAAATAGAACATTTAATTCTCTTTACAATTAAATATTGATACAAAAACTCTCGGAGCCCTAAATTCTCTAAAACTAACCCTATGCTGAGCCATTCTAACTGTCCCTCCAGGCCTGAAAAATGTGCAGGGGACATCCAGGCGCTCTGCGATGTTCCCTGTCTAACTATCCCTGCTCAGACTGCCTGAAAATCTCCTCCGAGCAGTTTCTATCAGAAAGTCTGATGACGTCACAGGTCCCAGACTGGTCCAGTCTGATCCAGCTTTTTCTGGTTTTGGGAGGCGCGTACTCCAGCTAGCCCATTGGACTCCGGACTCTGTCTGGTCTGGTCTTGGTCTGGTCTGACATCAATCTCCTTCTCCAAACAACTGTTATCTGGCTGGGGGAGCTCTGCATTCCTCACATGGTCTGGCTGACTCGACTAGACCCCACTTAATATGAAATCACTGAAAATATAAACAACGTGTGCAGCATTTCTTGAGATGATGCATTATTCCCTCTTTTGACCTATATTAAACCAATTTAGGTCACAATCTTTCAATATCCCTTCTGGGTGACGGGACTGGGGAACTCTTCCATCATCGCCTTGGTTCTGGCTCGTTATCTGTGAAGAGTTAATACAGAGAAGACAAACAACACACAACAAACCACATTCGAAACATTCCTTCACTAAACTCTTTGATGACTACTGCTATGTCCTTCTGAGTCTTTCTTCAACCTCGTCTGTAATGTATGCACTGAATCTATTCACTATAGTTTAAACTATTCTAATCTATTTACCAATATGTTTGCATCTTTGCTTTTATTGAGCCATATTCTTAAACATATGTTTTTATCTAATAAATCTGTCTATACTGTGGTTTGCTGTCATTATCAGTGGCTTTGTGCCATTTTGTGGGGCTTTGCTCATTTTTCCAAACACATTTTGTTGAACCAGGAAGTGCTGTCACTTCCTCCTCTCAAGACAGTGGGATAAATGTACATCGTTAATCAAATTGGTATTATCCGTACAGGAGCTAATCTATTTTAGCAGGTTTCTCTGGGGTCAGTCCCTATACAACGGTATTTGATTCTCTAATCTGTTGCTGACAAATCAACAGTTTTTTTAAATTCTCAAAAATACCTAAATATCTACTTTTGTGCTTTACCCAAATACATTAAAATGCTTTCAAATGTTTTTGAATCTGTGTTGGTTCTAATCGATCTCATTAATCTATCTCATTAGCTTTTTGCATTGTCAACATTCACCCATGTTTGAAACAAGTGAATTTGACAGTATCTAATAAAACTGTGCATAAACTGTAATGAACTTTATCTACCTTTGAAGTAAATACTTTTAGACATAATATGAAGGAAATGGTCCTTTTACCATTTGATATTAGCCTTGGCTAAAAATAATCTCTATTTTTGAAAGCATCTATGGTTGATGCATTTATCTATTCCTATTTTTACTCTATTGTGACTCTAAAGCTCGGTTGCAGCTTGAGCAAAGGCATATTCCCAATTTTTGAGTTCTGATTGTAACAATTGCATTGGCAATAGACGATTTTTTATTGGCCGGTTCTTGTTCTGCAAATCATTATTCTATGTATTGTATTTCAGACAATTCCAAAAACAACACAGTCGTTCTCCAATATTAAAGACATACATCTAAATCAAGTTGCCTGAAAGGGATTTTAACTATTTTAAAACGTTCTCTACGATTATAAGGCTATGAAATTAATTATTTAATAAACAAAAGCACATTCATGGCTTCTGTCCACTGCTTATAACTGTTTAAAGAGTTGTCCCAAACTTAATGTGTGTAAATACATCAGCTGTTTGTAATAAACAATAACATTTAACCTGTTCTCCAATGGAGCAGCTCAGAGGCTGCGTCAAGAGCAATGTTATATTTGAGCTATTTTTAGATTTAAAATTGTGTTAAAGCCTGTCGTTCTATGTCTGCATTTTAATACTACTCTCTATAAACACATCTGCACCAGTTCCTACAGATGTGGAAAACAGAAACATCTAAAATCTGACTCCATTTGATTCCTTTTTACTTTAGTTATTAGAACAATTTGACCTTATTGATACTTATTTCCACAATAGAACTATTTTGATTATTCACTAGTCTAACTATTATTACTATTGTTTATTCTGACACTTCAACCTATAGCTCCTCGAATCCAATGACATTATAGCTCCAGACTATTTCATTCTATTCTATTATTATCTTATTATTATATGATCTATTATCTTAAAGAGTAGATCCGTTTGATGTTATAAGCGCTATTATTTCTCCTTTTGAATTTGCACAACACTAAATTTAGAATGACCCCCTATACTCCGAAAATTACTTAATAATTTTCCCATTTTGCTTTTTTAGGCTGCCCTTTCTATTATTTATTTGTTCTTGTAAATATATGTTTTACACTTCTTTCTAATGATTTAGAAGGTTAAGGACCATGACCACCTATGACAATACAATACTCCCCTCTTTTGGTCGTGGTCCAAAGTATAAAACATGCATCTGTATATGTGTGTAGATTTACTGTTCCAATCCTGTTGTTCCTCCCGGATCGTCCTCAATTCATATTGTGGGCTTTGGTGCCAAAGTAGAGGCTCATTTCCTTAATTCATACTACTGTCATCCCTGAAGCAGGTGCAGTTTATCTTTCATCTGAAAAACAAACATTAGAACACAAGAAACACCCACTTTCCTCTCTTCGCATGGTGCGGCCTGTCAATCAATCCAATTGGGCAAAACATAACTGCATTGACAGACGGTGTGTGGCATCAGGGCAGAGGCTGTAGCCAAATACAGACTTAACAATATGTATGTTTCTAATTTTATACTCCCCTAAATGTGAATTACAAACCAAAGTTGTCCTCCGCCCAATGACCGCTCACTGCGGTTGGACCGAATCACTGTCCGGGCAAACAGCAGAGGGGGGGACTCCCAATACCTTCAGCAAGGTATTCATCTCAGAGTACTTTCCGCAGAGTACTTTTCTCAGAGTACTCATCCCAGAGTACTCTCACTTTTACACCTGTTCAATAAAGCTTGTCATCTTTGAATCTCTAGTACTTACACCGTATGCTGTTGACAAAAAATAATTATTCCATGATCACATTAAAACATTACAGAAAACTTTTGTTATTCCATGATTCCGTTCAGCACTCCTCGTTCACTCCCCAACACACTCACAACACACTCACAACACCCCACGTTAGTATTGGTCCAGTTTGTTAAGGTCAACGTAGTGTATTGGACATGACGCACAAACATATAACATACACAAACATATAACATACACAAACATATAACATACACAAACATATAGACAACACAAGAGGCCTGTAATTTTAACTTTGTTATATTTTTCCATGTCCAATTACAATTGTCTCATGAGCTATTTTATAGTTGCAACTTTCAGAGCCTGCAGAACATGCAAAGCTTTGAGAGATTTTTCCTAAAAGGATCCATTTCAAACTTTAGTGTTTAAACCACGTGGTCTTTACTCGGGCTTGTCACAAACTGTGTCCCCTATATTTTTAATGAGCTCTTGTTACTAAAAAAAAAACTCATGCACGTGCAATAAATGTTTTTCCCTTTTTTTTTTTAAAGCCAGTTCGGATTCCTTAAAAATGTAAATTAGTTTCAAACTTTAATACTTCACCTTTGTTTCACGTTCATGTGGAGAAAAGACCATTGTTTTATGTGTGTGTACTTGCGCCAATCATGTCTCAGATAAACTGCCAACAGTTATATCAAAGACATAATTGTCCTAATTGTTTCTAATTTAGCTATTTGGAAAGAAACATGTCATAAAAGATTTCAAAAAATGTCCCTACATCTTTGTTTTCAACCAATGAACAGTGTTGCGTCTATGTGTTATCAGAAATGATCCAATATCACCTTTAGCCAAAATTCAGAAATGCTTTAAATCATTTTTCAAACTTTAATTGTCTGAACAAACCATTTTGTACTAAATGCAGCGTCCATTAAAAGCTGCAGTTCTCTTTCTAGCACCAGTTTCATCTGTGCATGTGATTGTTCTTAAATGAGAAACGAGCCACGGTTCAGAGGTTGAAAACACTGCTTTAAATATCCGTATTACCAAGATCATGCAGTCAAAATCAATAATTCTAAACTTCTCCGCGTCTATAACTTTAAATAATACTAGTTTCAATAATAGAGCTCCTCTACTTTAAATATACTGCTGTTCTAATCTCCTTGTGTCTCATGCTAAAGCAAGAGTCTAATTAATTTTAACGATTGTCCTGTATTCTTTCATGCAGCTAAATGTGGTGTTATGAACGAATGACCTAAATGTGTAAATATGACTTAATATGTCTCTGTGCTTTTGTTGTCT